GGTCTCCCAGCTCGTAAAGCAGGACCCGGTGTCGCTCCCGCCGTGCGAAGGCAATAAAAGGCACAGGGGAATTACCGCCAGCCCCAGCAGCTGGGCGCCCAACAGGGACACCTACGTGGGGCCTCCTGGCTACCCCCACCCCCACACCTTGTAAAGCACGCCTCCTCCTGCCGCCCACAGCCATGGCTTTCGGGGCCAGAGGCAGCTTCCCAAAAAGAGGCACAGTCCCCCCAAAATCCCAGCCTGGCAAATGCCCATGGCGGCGAGCTGGGGACCATTGCCACCAGCCCCTGCCCGGCAGGGCTGCTCAGCAGACCTCACCAAGTGCCAAGGCCAAGGCCACCGCTGGGCTTTCCCTGTCCGCAGCCCTGAGCAGCACAGGGCCCCAGCGGCACAGACAGGTTCCCCTCCACTGGGGACAGCCAGCCTCTCAACTCACTCCCAATGGCCAATGGTCCCAAGCCCTCAGCACCTTGCTTGGGCCTCCAATCTTCCCTCCCTGGGGAGACCACCTGGACTCCCACATCGGGAGAACGAACAGGAGCTGTGTTCATGCCAGCACCAAACCTACAAACCAGCTCCATCTGCCTCTCTCTCCTGTCCTTTCCAACAGGGCTGCCCACCCTCCTGCAGGCTAAGGCCAGCTGTCCCTGGCATCCCCTCCCCCTGCCACGGCTCCTGACACACACATTGATCTACTCGGCCTCTCCTCAGACATGCTGGCAGCATCCTTCCCGCTGCGGCGGTGAGGAACACAAACAAAACCTCTCCCTGCTGTCCCCTCTTTTTGTTCTGCTTCCTCGTGAAGTTCTGGGAGAAGTTGTCTGTTTGCTCCCTCCCCCTGCAGCTTTTGCTCCAACACATGCGGCCGCAGCACCGGCTCCTGTGGCCGGTGAGCTCATTCAGCCGGTGTAAATCCCACAGTGAGTGGGAAGCGCTTGTACCGGCCAGGGAAACCACACAGCCGGGAAGAGACAGGGTCGGGGTGGTTACTACAGTGTGAGGAAGGGTTTTTAGAACAGCAAAGACTTTAAGGAGGGAAGGCGTGAGTCATGTGGCTATCTGGGGGAATGATCAGTGCAAAGGCCCCGAGGCAGAGTGTGAGAGAGTACACCTGGAACCGCATCAGGGTAGGGTGGATAACTGACATGGGGAGGGAAGGTGATGGCTCTGAGGGAGTCCTTTTTAAATATATATATATATATATATATATGTATGTATTTGAAAGGCAGAGTTAGAGAGGCAGAAGCAGAGAGAGAGAGAGAGAGAGAGTCTTTCATTCGTTGATTCACTCCCCAAATGGCCACAATGTCTGGAGCTGGGCTGATCTGAAGCCAGGAGCCAGCAGCTTCCTCCAGGTCTCCTGTGTAGGTGGCAGGGGCCCAAGCACTTGGGCCATCTTCCACTGCTTTCCCAGGCACATTAGCAGGGAGTTGGATTGGAAGTGGAACAGCCCATATAGGATTCAGGCACTGCAGGCGGCTCTACACACTACACCACAGCGCCAGCCCCGCCCCTGCCCCCATTTTTTAAAAGATTTATTTCTAAGGGAGTCTTGTGGGCCGTGGCTCTTGGACTGGGTGGGACAGGAGCACAGGGCGGGTGCTAAGCAGAGGAGGGAGATGATTAGAAGAGACTGAGCTAACCAAGAATGAGACTAAGCTGCAGGGGTCTGGGGTGGGGCAGGTGGACACAGCAGAGGAGCAGAGTGCTGGTCAACCAGCTCTCCTTCTGGGGGCAGCCAGAGCCCTCATCTGGCGCTTGTGTGGTGGAGTCACCATTTGCCAGTGGTCTCACAGGCCACTAGCAAAGTCCTTGCAAACTGGCACCTCCAGCTCACCCTGAAAAGCAAACAGATCCTGGATATTCCCTCAAGTTAGAGCCAAAAGGGTTTCCTGAAGATCGGATGTGGGATGGGAAAGAAACACCAGGGCCCAGGAGGCAGTGGTGGCTCCGTCTCACAGTGCTGAGGTGTTTGCCGCCGCTGCCGCCTCCTGGAAGCCCTCTTCTCCTGGAGCCCAGGGCTTCCACCTCTGGCCCTCTGCCTCCCTCACTGCTCCTCATGCTCTGGCAGCCTCACTCTCCTCCTGCTGGCTCTTGATTGCTGGCATTTCTCTTTGCTACTACTACTACTACTATTAAATGGTTTATTTAATTGAAAGGTAAGGCATCAGAGAGCGGGAGACAAAGATCTTCCATCCACTGGTTCACTCTCCAATTGGCTGCAACAACCAAGTCTGAGCCAGGTCACAGCCAGGATGCAGGAACTCCATCTGGGTCTCCCATATTGGTGGCAGGGGCCCAAGGACTTGGGTCATCACTTGCTGCCTTCCCAGGTGCATTAGCAGGAAGGTGGATCGGAAGCAGAGCAGCTGGGACTCCTACCAGTGCTCCCAATCGGGATGGCGGCTTAACCCATCTCCACCACGTTGGTCCGCTGCTGACATTTCTCAAGACTCAGCAGCAAGGCCTGTTTCCTAGGAGGCCCACGCTGCCCTGAGTGGCTCAGGCACAGCTCTCAGCATCTCCTGCACTCACCTGCATCACAGGCCTCATTGTGGCCCCGGGCTCTCCTTAGCAGTCGCTCCATACCCATCAACCCAGTGCCTCCCAGGCTTCCTCCGGACACCCCAAATGCCCATGTCCACATCTGAACTCACAATGTCCCCAGCCCACATGGTGGTCCTCATCCGGTACTGACCCTCTCAAGGTCATGGGCATCAGAAACCTAGGAGGGTTCCCTCCTGCCTCCCCCTCTCTTTCTCATCACGTGAGTCCTGCGACCTCACCCCCGAAGTAGCTCCGGAATTCAGCACCGTCCAGGTAGACAGCCGCTCCTCCCTGGGTGCTTGCCCAGGCCTTGTGCCTGGGCTCCCGGTGGTCCTTGCACTTCCTGCCTGCTGGACAGGATGTGCTAATGTGTAGATCAGCCCCTTGCAAATACCACCCAATGCTTCTGATCCTGCCAGAGCACTGAGTCCTGTGTCCTGGGCCAGCACAGTTTACTTCCAGGATTCCAGAAAGCGGGGTTCAGGTCGTCTTACTCGTTGTCTCACATCTTTCCTGGGCCTTAGCTCATTTGGGGTGGAAGTTGATACAGGGTTTCAAACTCTACTCTATGACTCCTTGGCTGTGCTGCTTCTGGTAGCAGGGCCGGCCGGTGGGGGAGGGTGGCGTAGGAAATGCGTGTGGGTGATAAGGCTCCTGCTCCCGGCTTCCGCCAGAGGAAGTCTACTTTTAACTGTGTTCTTCACCTGACAGAGCCGATTCCAGATGAACCACAGTGTCCATGACTTTCTGGTTTGGAAACCACTAAGCTACGTGGCCCGCGTGGCCATGCCCATGGCTCCATGCACTCACATGGTGCCCCACAAAATGAGATCCATGGACGCACACACCTGGGCAACATCGCTGGCTTTCTCAAGCTCTTGGCAACTCACGGTTGTTGAGTGAGCAGTCGGACACAGCAGCGATCACTTCTTTGGTTGTGAGGAGGAGGAGGAAGCTGGGATTTGCAGTGTGCACTGTCTCTTAGGATGTCAACCCTCCCCACACAGCCCAAGTGCAGCCTCTGGATGCACACAGTGGACTCCGGAGCTGGCCTGGGGACATCCCTGGCAGAGGGAACCACCCCACTTTCTCCAAGACCGAGATGCAGGCCCAGGAGACAGAGGGAGATGGCCAGGCCGGCTTAGAGGGTGCTGATACCTCGTGCTTTCCTCGTGCTTCCGTGTTCCATCAATGGGGGCTCAGTGGCGTGATTCCTGTTCTTGGCCTAGGCCTGTAGAGGCCCCCTGTGTTCTCTTCACATCTTTTGCACTTCTGCCATCAGCCGTGAGATGTCCAAGCAGCCTTCTGGTCTCTGGCCTCAGCACGCCCAGCCTAGGGAAACCCAGGCCTTTCCTGGAGTACTGCTTCGGGTCCCGGCTGCTCCACTTGTGATCCAGCTTCCTGCCAATGTGCCTGGGAAAGCAGTAGAAGATGGCCCAAGTGCTTGGGCCCCTGCACCCATGTGGGAGACCTGGAAGAAGCTCCTGGCTCCTGGCTTTGGATTGGCCCAGCCCTAGTCATTGCAGCCATGTGGGGAGTGAACCAGCAGATGGAAGACCTCTCTTTCTCTCCTCTCTCCGTGTAACTCTTTCAAATAAATAAATCTTTAAAAATAAACAAAAACAAAAAAACACATCACCCTTGGGCATTTCTTGCACTCATTCTGGCTTTGGACTGTGCATCCTCCTGGCCAGGGGCTGTCCCACGGGCTGTGGCTTCCACACTGCCCCATCCACGGTGCCAGCCTGGAAGCGGCGGCCTGGCCCACCTGGCCCTGCAGAAGGTGCGTGCGCGACTCCTCCTAAGCCAGTCCTGCACCCTCCCTTCCCTGTACTTCTCAGTTCTAGAATTTTCCACCATCCCCAGGCAGGGCCTCAAGCCTCCCCCTGAGGTTTAGCGGCAGTGGCCTTGACCGATGAAGTTTGCAAGATCGAGGCTCCCCTTGTCCACCTGCCAGGCAGCCTCCCGGGGTTCAGAGCCCCTGCTCACGGCTGATCCCACTGATCCTGCTGACCATGGGGCCTGCTGGAGGTGCTACCTACCTGCCCCAGCCCTCATGCTTCTGCCCGTACCAGAGCACAGCCCCTGCCTCGCCTTGGGGGCTGCCTGGCCTGCACTCCCACCGCACCCCGACCCAAATGAGCTCCATCAGACTACGGGGATCCGACACATGGAGTGCTGGTATCTACACCCAAATCCGGTACCACGATGCTCGGCACAGCACCTTAGGTACACAGACCTTGGAGGAGCAGCCAGATCCTCAATCCTGCCCTCCCCACCCCCAAAGCAGCATCAAGCAGCCAGGGAAGGCCTCAGCAGCCGTGGCTAAGACACGGTCGTCACTTCTGACACAGTGGAGAAAAAATACGGTCTAATTTCTGTCCAAATGCACCAAATTTACCACCTCCATTCTCATTAACTACTGTCAAGGGAAGAGCAGACAAGATAAATTATGAAAAAATTACTTTTTTAATGTACAAAAAGACGTATTTACAAGTTGAGCATGTCATCTCAGTTCATAGCATGTAGAAAAAGCTACAAATGTTCTGGAGATAGAAATCCGGCGGCTGATTCGCCTGCAGTATATTCAGGGACCACGGCTGCTGTACAGGGGATATTCAGGTGGGGAGGGGCGGCCACAATCCTAGCTTGGCAAGCGATGGACACCAGCCCAGAGCCTCGGGCCCCCTGGCGCTGTCTCAGGGCCGCCCCCTGGGAGTGGCCTCGTGCCTGGACCTCAACGAGGACTTGGGTGTGCCAGATCACACGCTTCTGGCCCTCCCTGTTGGCAGACTCTATTAAGACGTGCTCACTGAAGTCAGGGTCACGGTCGGGATCAAGCTCAGGGCGGCGCAGTGCGTCTGGCCTGGTTGCCGTGAACTCAGGAGGAGGTGGTGTGTGTGTGTGTGTGTGTGTGTGTGTGTGTGGAGAGGGGAACACATATCAACTCATCCTATGTCCTGTCCAGGAGTGATGTCTTCTGAAGCCACTTCCAAAGTCCGTTTCTGGGTGGGGCTTGGTCACACTGAACAAGAACCTTCGGGGCCAGTCCCTCAGAGTCCCAAGAGTTAAAACCTTCACCCTCCCACCCCATCCAAAACACCATGCATGCCATCATTCTCTGCTCACTGACCAGGGGAGGGCAGAGGCAAAGGAGGCCAGAAGACACAGGGACTGCACTTGTGGCTTGGCCTGGAAGAACGCGGGTGGAGGAGGAGCCAGGCTGTGGCACGTCCCATGGCAAAGTGGGCAGATAGCTAGCACGCTGGAAGAAACACGACGACGACGATGGGGTAAACATGCGACTCCCTCTTCCTACAGGCAGCCCTCCGGGCTGGTCCGCTCCTGGCCCGCAGCAGCTCCGGCAGTCCCGAGGTACTTCTTACCAGGAGGGGCTACATTCCACATGCAGGAAGGCTGTAAACACGGTGTGGGGAGGCCCTGGGCAGCTGCCGGGCTTGTCCCGCAGAGTACAGGGTGCTCTTGGTCCCTTTTCCTGGCTGTATTAACGCATGTCACCCACTCACGCACACTGGGGCAATCTGTGGGCCCCGAACTCAGTGTTACAGGATACAACAGTGGCTAGCGCTACACCTAAACCCGGCATCACAGGGCAGGCAGAGTGCACACTGCGCTTCGGTGGCAGGGGAAGCAGAGGCCTCTAGATCCAAGCCCCCCGGAAGCATGCATGTGGCCCGGGAGTTCGCTTTCCTTGCAGGTGGGGGTGGGGGTGGGGAGAAACGCCGTCTCCCGGGAGCAGAATTTCCAGGATCGCCTTGACTCAAACCCCGATCTGGCTCCTTCTGCTTCCCACAGGCACCGGGGAAAGCCCTTGAGCTCGGAAACCCCTCATTAGCCAAATGACAGAGGCGAACATGCCAGGACAGTGGGCCCATAAACACCAGCGAAACCGAGGTTTTCATTCCTTCCTTGCGTGTTGAGACTTTTTTTTAGTGTTCTAAAAAAATAATCGTCCTTAAGACCCAGGAGAACGCCTGTAAACCTTCTGTGTGCCGTCCGCCCCAGTCCCTGGCGGACATCCCTCAGGCCAATTTAATACTTTTTTTGGAAAAAAATAAAAAGGAGGTGGGATCATCTGAAACTCCACTCTGGCCAGCCACGGTCAGGGGCGGGAGGCCTGGCCTTACGTCATCATGTTCAGGAACTTGCTCTCCTCGGCCAAGCTGGTGAGCATGGAGCTCATGTCTCCCACGGCCATGTTGCTGAAGCCCGCGGGCACGGAGGGCAAGGTCAGGGAGCTGCGGGGCGTGGTGAGGCGGGACGAGCTCTGGGAGAGGCTGTGGAGCAGGCTGGGGCTCAGAGGCCCCGAGAACAAGCTCGAGTGATCGCCGTCGTCCATGATGGCATCGAAGTCGATCTGTTGGGCCTCCAGGAGCTGCGAGTCCACGGTGCTGGACACCTGGTTGACCCCCGGCGAAGGCAGGGACTGGGGCTGCACACTGTCCGGGCAGGCCTGCGGCTGTGCGGGCTGGGGCTGCAGGCCCGCGCTGCCTGCGTGGCCCTCCAGGCTTCCGTTCTGTTCATACATGTGGATCTGGCCATAGTAGTAGAGCAGGCTGTGGTCCTGAGCCCCGCCTGCATCCTGCGGAGGTGGCTGGGGAGGCAGTGGCACCACAGCACCCATCGCTCCCTTTGGCACAGCCCCTGCTGCTTCCTGGCTAGCTGGCACGGCAGCCAGGGTCTGGCCTGCGGCCCTGGCATAGGCCAACTGCTGCTGCTGTCCAGCGCGCACTCCACGGTGGCGGCCGGCAGGGCTGGGCTCTGGGGGTGGCCGGGGCTGCATGAGGCCAAAGCTTGCTGCACCTGCTCCCATCGTGCCCTGCTGGGACTCCAGGAACCCAGGCTGGTGGGAAGGCAGGAGGCTGGGGCCCTGGCGGTAGCCCTCCTGGCTCCCAGGGGCTCCCAGGTGATGGCTCTGCTGTGGGTAGCCCTGGGCTGGGTGAGAGGGTGGCATCCCGGCCAGGGATGAGTTGGGGACCCCGAGTTCCCTGTGGTGGCCGCCCATCATGGCAGGCCCTGGGGTGACTTCCATCTGCTGAGGGAGCCCCAGGGGGCCTGGCTTGGTGGCCATGTTGCTGCAGGATGAGGGGAACGGGTTCAGGACCCCACTGACGGTACCGGGGCTCAGCTGGGGGTGGGCCTGGCTGTAGCCGGCGTGGGGGCTCATGGTCGAGGTCAGGCCGGGACACGGGCCACCAGCGGCTGGCTGTCGCAGTTGCTGCACGTAGCTCACCCTGGCTGCAGCAGGCACTCCGCCACGGTGCTGGAGGGGTGGCTGGCTGCTGTCCAGGCCCCCGGGGCTCTGCTGGAGGCCTTGTGGACTGTAGCCTGGGTACTGGCCAAACGCCGGCTTCTGCTGTACCACGGCCAGGTTATTCTGAGGGAAGGGAGGAGGCTTGGCCTGGCTGGCCAGGGCATCCACGGTGCCGGAGCTCACCTCATTCCACTGCACGGGCATGTTGTTCTTGCTCAGGCTGGAGGCTGCCCCGTAGCCCACCTGGCAGCCTTCCAACAAAGGCGCCGAGGGACCCACATTTGAGTCTGCAGCCGCCAGCCTGCGTTGGCCGTGCAGCCCCGGGCTGGGCTGCTTGGGGTTTTCGGAGAAGCCGGGGCTTTCGGTGGGGTACACCTGCCTGGGGCTCTCCTCCAGGGAGCCCCTTGTGTGCGCCTTGATGTACTGCACCACGTCATCGGGCAGCACCAGGTCCTCCGGCAGCCCCAGGTCGGACTCGGGCGCTGCGCCGCCATCCACCCCAGCGGCCACGGCCTCCATCACCACGTTCTCACTGATACTGGGCGGCCGCGGCGGGTAGGCGCCGCTGGGAGCCAGGCTGCCGTCGGCGTTCGGGTGGCTTGCCAGGCGCAGGCCTCGGCGCTCAGCACAGGGCGGCAGGGCGCCAGGGTTCACGTTGTGGGCGCTGTGGAAGCGCTGCACCCGTGGCAGGGCCAGGGCGTCCGGCCGACGCACTGGGTCGCTGGCTCTGCGGGTGGCGGCGCCGGGCACCTCGTGGGGGAAGGCGGGCGCAGCCCCCATGTGCCCCTGGCTGTGGCCATAGGCCGGCCCGTCGCTGCCACGCCGCGGCCCCAGCAGGCGGGGACAGGTGGCAGCGGGCAGCGTGCGTTCCGGGCCGTCCAGCAGGGCCAGCCTCGTCCGCAGGCTCATCCGCTCCAGGCCCGGCAGTGGTGTGGGCGGCGGCCCTCCGGTGGCCGCGGCGTACTTGGCGCGCAGGCTGTACTGCTGCGCAGGCGTGAGGTTGAGCAGCCCCGAGCCCGCCCCGCTGCACTGGCTGGCCTCGCTGGAGCGCCGCGACGCGTCGGTGGAGATGGGATCGTAGGAGTCCGCGGAGCTGGCGGCGTGGTGCGGGCGGCCGGCGCCCAGCGGCGAGGCCTCGCTGGAGCGGCGACTGGAGAAGTAGGGGGAGATGCCGGAGGAGCGGCGGCTCACGGTGTAGGCCGAGCTGACTGTGCTGGTGGAGCTGTCGCGGCGCTCCTGCAGCTGGTTCAGCATGGTCACCTCGGGGGCCGACAGCTCGGACAGCCGAGGGTTTGGCAGCAGCCCCGCCGGGCCCCCGCCCCCGCCGCCACCGCCACCGAAGTTTTCCAGGAGGGAGCCTGTGGGCAAACAGAGAGGTCAGGGGACAGGTGCACTGCTTGCTGGGTCCTGCATAGTCAGTCTATGGAGCCTACAGCCCCGGAGCGGGCACACAATGGATGGCTTCCCAGTGAAGGAAGGCGCATAAGTGATCAAATGCGGGCAGCCATTGCTAAGGGTGGGGAGCGGCAGTCAGCCGGTTGGAGTCCCCATCTGCTTTCTCCTGCCTGTCGGGCCCTGGGTTATCGCTCCAGCCCTCAGTGACTCCAGCTGAGACAAAACGCGCCTTTCCAGAAAACTGGGTTACTGAGAGGCAGGGGTGAGCAGCAAGACGGTTTGCTGGGTGGGCTGCTGGGCTGGCCCCTGCTGATGTCACCGCCGACAGCCTTTGCTGCTCCCTTACTCTCCTGCAGTGAACAGCCACCCCTGGCCATGGGCCATCCTGGGAGGGGTGACTGTGGTGAGGCAGCTGTGTGCACAGCAGGGCTGCAAGCTCCAAGCCATCTCTCAGGAATCCCCAGAGTAGTTTAGGCGGCAAACCTGCCCTTCCAAAGAGAGTGGCCACCGTATCACAGCATCCAGCACGGTGGGCAGCCGGGCCGACGACTGAGTCCCTGGGCACCGGGAACGCGCTTGCTGCAGCCACCTTCTGTCTCCCTGGACAGGGTGCCGCTGCCTCTGTGAAGCCCTCCCTGCTTGTCCCAGCTGGACCTCTCTGCACAGTTCTGCCCTCAGCTCCGTCATCAGCGCTACTGGGCTCATTCTGCAGTAGGTGGGAATCTTGGGGGACGGGGTTCTAACCATGGGCTCTTTTGGGGCTAGGATTATGATGCTTTCCTTCCTAGGGCCTTGGCCCTGTGGAGGTGCCTGCTGCAGGTACCTAGTCAATGCCCAAACAGCTGGCAGGAAGAGGATGCGTGGGCATGCTGTAGTTCAACAAGCACGGGCTTTGCAGACACACACCCCTAGGCTAAACTTCTCTGCTGCCGAGCCTCAGTTTCCATATCCACGCAATGGGTTGGTAAGATCTCTTCTATTTTGTGGCAGCCAGTGCATGGATGTGAACCCAGCTGGTGCTCCAAGCCTCCCCCAAGCCTCCTCTTACCACTTCCGGGGAGGGGAGGCAGCTTGGTGGTCCGGGTGTGTGGAGCAGGCCCGGCCCAGGAGCAGGAATCCTTGAGCGACTTGAGCTTCTCCTTCTTGAGCTGCTCGAAGCGGTGCATGGCAGTCATGTGTTTGCGCAGCTGCAGGCCACCAGCAGAGGGGGCAGCCAGGGCCGAGGCATCGGCCCCCGGGGACACGTCATCCAGCGCTGTCAGGTCTCCCAGGCTCCCGGGCCCCGGCCCCGGCATCTCCACGCCGCTGTCGTTGTTGTTGGGGGCACTGCCCAGCGGGGAGGGCTCGCTGCTGCAGGACGACTGGGCCCCGGGGCTGCACTGACACAGCTGCAGGGCACGAGGGAAGAAGGCGAGGACTGAGAGAGGGAGCACCGATCTGCCTGCCTGCCCTGGGGCCCACGCCCTTGCACACCTCAGGTGGGGGAAGGGAACTGCCCTTCAGAGAGGAGATGATGAAGTCACTTCCCTGCTCTTAACCTTGGCTTCTCCAGCCGCAGGATGCAGGACACAAGGCCCTGGACTGCGTCCTGTGCCGGGTGAGTGGCTGGACAGCACGCAGCTGCTTGCAGAAGGCACCCAGTGTGGCACAAAGGAGAGCACTGACGCACACTTGGCGACAGCAATGCCTGCACCGTCAAGTGAACGGCAACAGAACCCCAACAAAGACTCAGTGCCTTCTGCATGGCCAGGGCATCTGGCCAGGCCAGAGGCAGGGGCTGCAAAGGGACAAGATGACTAGGGGGGGCTGGTGCTGTGGCGTAGCGGGTAAAGCCACTGCCTCCAGTGCCAGCATCCCATGGGGGCGCCTGTTCGAGACCCGGCTGCTCCACTTCCAATTCAGCTCTCTGCTATGGCCTGGGAAAGCAGTAGAAGATGGCCCAGATTCTTGAGCCCCTGTACCCATGTGGGATACCCAGAAGAAGCTCCTGGCTCCTGGCTTCAGATTGGCACAGCTCTGGCCATTGTGGCCATCTGGAGAGTGAACCAGTGGATGGAAGACTTCTCTCTCTCTGCCCTCCTTCTCTGTGTAACTCCGACTTTCAAAATAAAGAAATCTTAAAAAAAAAAAAAAAAAAAAACTAGAGAAGGAGGAGCTATGGGGGCACAACCCTTGGTTGAGCTGCCACCCCAAAGCAGCCCTCTCTCTGGGTGGGGGCTGTTTGGGGCAGAGACCTTGGGCTACGTCCTCTGTGACCCAGGAGCTCCAGTGAGGCTCACCTGAGAGAAAGCACCTCTGGCCTCCCCGCCAGGCTGAAGCGGCCTCACATTCCAGTTTTTCCTCGGGGAGCTGCACTATTCTTGCCACCAGGACACATGCAGCAGGTGCACACGAACCTGACAGGTGCTGCCCATGGCACCATCTCCACTCCTCAGCAGCCTGAACTCATACCTCCCCCTGCAGCCGGGGCCCCTCCTCTTCCTGTCCTGCTGGCAGCCTGGTCCTCACGGCTCCACTCCTGCAGCTGCAGCTGCCCTTAACCTGTCCCGCCGGTCCCAGCTGCCGTCCCAGCTATGTGCGGACCCAAAGCTACCTTCCCAGCCCAGGAGGCCTGGACGGGCAGGTCAGCCTCCTCCAGGCAGCAGCCCTGGACAAGCACCCCAGCCCGCCCTCACTCACACACACACACACACCCCAGCCCACCACACTCCCACCCAGCTCCTGTGCTCACCTCAGTACCGCCTATCCTTAGGGGAGGTACAGTCAGGGAAAAGAGGTGGAGACAAAGAACAGGTGGTTAGAACACAAGGAACAGAAGCCGGAAGGGACAAGGACGCAGAGACAGGATAGAGGGCTGGGGCGGGGGGGGGGGGGCGGTCAGCAGCGGCGCTGAAGGGCAGGTGCACAAGGACCGCCCCACCCATAGTGGGGGAGGGGAGGAGGTGTCCCCATCCCCGCCGCCCAGCAGGCGCCAAGGCAGAGCAGAATGGATCCCAATGGCATAGGTTCCACATGAAGCCCAAGGTGGGGAAGGAAGGAAAGCCGAACTGGAGAGGGCAGGGGACTTCATCACCCCCCAGCAGGGCCCACGTGGCTGCCCTGGCGCCGGGCTGGGCCGTCCAGCTCTGCTTACCCCGGAGCCCTCGCTCTTGATGGCTCTGACATGCAGGCAGTCCTCCACGGCCTGGCCGCCGCTCCTGGCCTCGGTGCTCTCCTCGGGCCCCCGGCCGCCAGGCTCGCTGCAGCCCTCGCCGTCCCCATTCTCCTTGAGCAGCGGGGCACGGAGGTGGCCCTCATTGCGCTGCTTCTTGGTGACGTGAGCGTCAGGGCCATGGACCGTTTTCACGTGCTTACGCAGAGAGCTGGGGTCCGTGTATCGCTTGGTGCAGCCTGGGATCTTGCAGATGTAGGGTTTCTGGGGAGAGAACCGGGCCACATGTCACAAATGGGGACACGAAGACACACCCCTCAATGGGCGGAGTCTTCCTCCCCCCTAAAGCTATCCAGTGTCCCATGGCAGAGCCCGGCTGCCAAGCTGGTGGGTGCTTTGTTGTATCTGCAGCCAGTGTCCCGAGGCTGGAGCCAGGTCAGCTCCAGGCCTGCAAAGCCTGGCCCCAGCCCAGGCAAATGCACGGTCAAGGGAGCCTGTGCCACAGGGAGCTGGGGACACAGACCAGAAAGCTCACTGGGGAAAGGGGACACAGGGTGCCTTGTGTGGTCACAGCACTGCCTCCCTGTGGTCAGTAGCTGTGCACCGAGCTCACTGATGCCTGGTGAGATGGTGCCAGTGTTCCAGCGCTCTGATTAGGAAAGAGAGGGTTGGGAAGGCAAAGGAACTTGCTCAAAGTCACTGAGCTAATCCTCAGTCCTGGGCTCATACACAACCCCCCCCCATCCCCACCCCCACCCCCACACACCAACACTGCTCTCCGAGGCTGGCTGCTGTCTGCAGAGACCTCTGGGAGCTCAGAAGCCTTGGGGAATTCCCCGCATTTCTTACAAGCTGTGGAGCCAAGTCCCTCTGGGGTCCAGACTATGTCTGAACCTTTAGAAACAGTCCCTCTTGAGTGTGCCTGTGCCGCAGTAATTGTGCGGCTGAGCTGGGATTTGGGGGCAGGTGCGGCTCCTTCAGCACCACCACCGGAGCACCGCGCTCCCTCCTGGGCTACAGGTGGTGGCACGTGACCGCCAAGGGCTGCCGTGCGCATGTTCGGTGCGCGCCCGCGAGCGGTACCTCGTTGGAGTGGGTGCGGTTCTGGTGCTTGGCACGGTCCGAGGCGTTGGAGAAGGCCTTGTTGCAGCCCTCGTGTTCGCACACGTACGGCTTCTCCCCAGTGTGGGACCGCAGGTGCGTCTTTAGGTTCTCCAGGCGCGAGTAGGCCTTGGAGCAGCCTTCGAACTGGAAGGAAGCAAGGGGATTGGTCACATGGGGACACCCCAGATCAGACGCACCGACGCCAAACCTCCTGGGCCAGCCCACTCCTCCCCATCAGCCCCGCCCCCTCCCGCCCTTAGCCCCGCCCCACAGGTGCACCTATCTCTGAAAGGAGTTTTCTGGTACTTTTAATCACAACACTGTACCCTCTCTGCTTTATAGCACTTCCCTGGCCACAGCAGAGAGCTTGCCTGGAAGAGGGGCAACCAGGACAGAATCCGGCGCCCCGACCGGGACTAGAACCCGGTGTGCCGACGCTGCAAGGCGGAGGATTAGCCTAGTGAGCCGCAGCGCCGGCCAATTATCTTAAACAATTGGTTAACTGGCCTTGCTCCTCGGATACAGACTGCAGGATAGGAACTTTTTTAGGTTGTGTTCATCTCTGCCTTCCTAATACTTAGCACCGGATGAAAAGGAGGCACTCAAGAAATATTTTTTTGGGGAAAAAAAAAGGATGAAAGGAGGAGGAAGAGGAGATGGGCAGGAAGAGAATGAAAACAAGCACGGACTCGTGGGAAACCCAGCACACGCGTGGGTAAACCCAGCTCGGTCCATGCATGCCATGGAATATTATGCAGTACCGACTCATGCTGTTACACGGAGGAACCTTGCCAACACGTGGTGTTAAAGAAGCCAGACACAAGACCACATATTTTATGAGTTTGCTTTTACAAAATGTCCAGAATAGGGATTTTACAGGGGCCAGAAAGCAGAGGAGTGGTTTTGGGGCTGCAAGAAGTTGAGGATTGGGGTGAGGGGTGACCACATTGCATACAGAGTTTCCCTCTGGGTGACGAAAATGTTCTGAAAGTAGCTAGAGGTTGTTTTGGGAACACACTAAAAACCACCCATTTGTATTTTTTTTTAAACATGAACAAGATATGTGAATTTCATCTCAATCTTTAAAAAGGCTTGCCTATAACTAGAGCGTATTTCATGGACTCTTGGACACCACTGATTTCAGAATCCGGTTTCTCAGAATCTATGCAATACAGCAGTTGCCAAGGAGAGCCCCCTTAGGTGGCCCGGCGGCAGACACCCCAGGGGGCAGAAGAATCTTCCCTTTGGAAAGAGAACCAACGGCTGTGCATTAAAAATAAACCTCAACAACGACAGCCCTGAGTCGGGCATGAGTGAGGCTGCACACAAGGCCAGATCTTTCCTTAGTCAAACTCAACCAACGCGTTTTACCCATCCTTGTGGAAACGAGCGATCACCAAGGATACTAGTCTTTCTGCAGGGAAGGGAACGCACCTCAGGGGGCCACCTCGCAGGGCCGGACAAACCACCTGTGCACAAACCACTCACACCCACACACCGCAGACACCCTCACCACGTTTGCCGAGATGCTGAAGCGCAGAGGGTGGGGATGACCCGTTGACAAGACCCGCGCCCGCCGGTGCACAGCCATGGCCACACACCTGTCCCCCTGCCCCGCCCCGCCCCGCCCGCCGGCAGAGGGCACTCACCGTGCACTTGTGCGGCTTCTCGCCCGTGTGCCGCCGCATGTGCACCACCAGCATATACTGCGCCTTGAAGGGCTTCTGCTCCCGCGTGCAGGCCTGCCAGCGGCACACGAACTCCTTCTTCTCCCCGTGGATGTGCTCATTGTTAATGTGCTGCGGGACAGACAAGCCCGGAGAGGGTGAGCCTGGCTGCTCCGGTGCTGGGACCCTGGCCGGGGCACACACCCGCAACCCGGCTGGGCCATAGCCTGTGGTGAGCCCGACTCCTGCCCTGCTGGTCCTCCCCACCTGTGTGTAGACCACCCTGCTGACCTCCCACCTACTGTGTGCAGGCCACACTCCTCATTGCCCATGACACCTACTACGTCCAAACCACTGATCCAACAACCTCACCTCCGGGTGCCTGCCACCTCTCCCTGTGAATGATCGCTAGCCACCACTACATGGGAATCTGTGCTCCCTGTCTTGCCTGCGTTTTCCAATTGCTCACTCAAAGTGAGCACCTATGAGGGTCAAAGGCATCCTACCCACCCTGGGTTGGGCTCTGGTTGCAATAATATCCCCTGGCTGCAAACAGTAGGCACTAATTAACTACAGTGAAGCAGATGTACACACGGTGGGTGCATGAGAAGTTTCTCCCAAGCTTATCTCTATTGCTCTATTGATTTTTTGTAAATTTATTTGAGAGGCAGAGAAACAGAGAGAGAGCGCGCGCTCGTGTGAGCTCCCATTGCTGGTTCACTCCCCATAATGGCCAGGGCTGGGCCAGGCTGAAGCTGAAAACTAGGAATTCAATCCTAGTCTCCTACATGGATGGCAGGGGTCCAACCACTTGAGCCATCACCCCCACCTCCCAGGGTCTGCATTAGCAGAAAGTGAGATTCAGGAGCCAGAGCTAACACTTGAACCCAGGTAATCTGTTACGGGATGCAGGCAGCTTAACTAGTGTCTTAGCCACTAGGCCAAACACCTACTCTTGTTAGAGAAATTTTTAAATCAAGTTTTTATTATAATGGAAAACCAATGCATCCTCACCTCTGTGTTTGTCATTGACCTATGAGATGGTGGCTTTGTCTCCTTCTCACATAAGCCCCTCGGGAAGTTCAGGACCTGCATGTGGGTGTGGATGGAGCCAGGTTCTGAACCTAATGGTGGGCTTGGGGTACTGTGGGAGGCTGGCCCTGGGGTAACCAGGGATGACCCGGGTCAGTGAGGGAGGCAAGACAGCCAGAGATAGCTCACCTGACCTCACGAGTACTGCCGCCCAGGGCAGGTGCAGCCCCCTCGGGCAAGTGGAGAAGTACAAGAAGCCTTCTGTGGGCGAGTGGCCCCCAGCCCCATCCCAGCCAGCTCCAGTCCCCTCTCTAAGATGGTGTGGCATTTGCACATCCTCCATCATACTGACATGCCTTGTTATACCTAATACAATGCTAACACTATGTCAACAGGCGTCAAGCTGTACTGTTGACAGTCAAACGGCAACGGAAACAGCCCACACAGGCTCAGTCCAGATGCAGCATTTGTTTTGTCTTGCATCTTTTTGATCCATAGGTGGTTCAATCTCTGAAAGTGGAAGCTATCAATGCAGAGGGCCGACTCAATTTCAGATACACGGGATGGCACAAACTACTCTTTTTTTTTTTTTTTTGACAGGCAGAGTTAGACAGTGAGAGAGAGAGACAGAGAGAAAGGTCTTCCTTTCGTTGGTTCACCCCCCAAAATGGCCGCTACGGCTGGCGCGCTGCACCAATCCAAAGCCAGGAGCCAGGTGCTTCCTCCTGGTCTCCCATGCGGGTGCAGGGCCCAAAGACTTGGGCCATCCTCCACTGCCTTCCCGGGCCACAGCAGAGAGCTGGCCTGGAAGAGGAGCAACCGGGACAGAATCCAGCATCCCAACCGGGACTAGAACCTGGGGTGCTGACGCCGCAGGCGGAGGATTAGCTTAGTGAGCCACGGAGCTGGCCTACACAAACTACATTAAAATGAACTTCTGTTTCTATTGTTTTAAACGTGCGTCTCCAGGAACTGGCACTATGGCACTGTAGGTAAATTGCCACTTGTGGTGCCGACATCCCATAAGGGAGTGCTGTTTTTAGTCCCCAGCTGCCCCATTCCGATCCAGCTCCCTGCTAATGCACCTGGGAAGGCAGCAGAAGATGGCTCAGGTACTTGGGCCCTCTGGCACCCACGTGGAAGTTCCCGCCTCCTGGTTTTGGCCTGGCCCAGCCCTGGCTGCTGCAGGCACTTGGGGAGTGGACCAGCAGATAGAAGATCTCTTTCTGTCACTCTGCCTTTCAAATACATAAGTTTTCTTTTTTTTTTTTTTTAAAGTGCCCGTGTGCCTGGCATTTGGGGCTAGTGGGGTCTTTCTCCTGGACTCTGCTGCCGTGGGCCTTTGCAACCGGCCAGGTGTCCTGAGAGCTGAGCGCCAGGCACTGGCAGCACCTGCTGCTTCACAAGACAACAAAACCACAGCACCCAAATGTCACACGTACAGACACCACCACCAGGACAGGCAGAGTCCACAGCGTTTTCACCTTCCAGAAAAACTGTCTCCTCTTTGCCCCATTTTCCTCTTAAAAGCCCTCCAAGTGATCAAGATGGCTCCTGGCAATGCCTTTGTCTGTTCTTCTTATGGGTTTACTTAGCTACAACTTGTTGATAATCCACAGGGAGCTCCTGCTCACCTGTGTGCCTGCTCCATCCATCTTCCCGGAGAGCAGAGAGAGAGAGAGAGAGAGAGAGAGAGAGAGAGCTGGCAAAGGGGCCCCATTCCCCTCCCACAAAGGAGCATGATCGCTCCAGGGCCAGGTCAGGGCGAGTACCCACAGCCACTAAGACAGTGCCGGCCGCAGGAAGAAGCTAAGCTGCTCTCCTTCTAGGACAAGTGTCTGGCCTAGTGGTGAACATGTCAGGTGGGACGGCTGTGTCTCTTAGAGTGCCTGGGCTGGAGCCCCAGCTCCGGCCCCTGACTCCTGCTTCCCGCCAACACAGACGCTGGGAGGCAACAGGGCATGGTTCCTATAGTCCTCGCAACCCACGTGGGAAGAAATACACATTGAATTCCTAGTTCCTGGCTCTGGTCCTGTGTCCAGCTTTGGCCATTTGGGGAGGGAATTGTGCACTGGCCGTCTGTCTGCCTCTTGAGTAAATAAATTAAAAATACATCCAGAGCTCCTTCCCAAGCTGGGGCCCCCGTGCCTTTGAGAAACTCCCTGCCTGTTTTGGGGTGCAGCCACCTAACAGAGAGCCCACCTTTTTCATCCTCCTGGCCATGGTTTTGCCTGAGCCCACTCCCTGCCTTCAATCTGAGACGATCCGTCCCACAGCTCACTGCTCTGATTGTCCCTTCCCTTCTCCTCCACTGTGGACCCCAAAGAGCGGGTCCACAGGGTGTCACAGGGATGAGGGGAGACCCTGTTCCCAGCTCCGGCATCAGCCGCCCCAGGCTTGCTGGGAGACTTTGGCTTCCTCGGTGAGAAACCCAAGTACAGAAGAAACCTACAGGCTGGTGCTGAGGCATAGTGGGCTAAGCCTCCGCCTGCAGTGCCGGCATCCCATATGGGCGCCGGTTCGAGTCCTGGCTGCTCCACTTCTGATCCAGCTCTCTGCTATGGCCTGGGAGAGCAGTAGAAGATGGCCCAAGTGCTTGGGCCCCTGCGCCCACGTGGGAGACCAGGAGGAAGCTCCTGGCTTTGTCCTGGCCCAGGTCTGGCTGCTGCAGCCATTTGGGGAGTGAGCCAGCAGACGGAACACTTCTCTCTCTCTCTTTCTCTCACTGTCTGTAATTTTACCTCTCAAATAAATAAACCTTTAAAAGAAAAAAGAGGAACCCACAGCAGTAGGGTGCAAGTCACAGAAATGGAGAGGGAGTCAACAATGACGTGAAAGCTAAGTGCCCAGACCAAGGAGAAGTAAACACCTTTGGGGTGGTCTCTGAACGTGACCACATGTGTGCGTGTGTGTGCGTGTGCATGTACATACGCGTGCTTGCGCGTCTGCTCATCCCTGCAACACAGCTCCTAATTTAGTGGGTTCATCTCTCCAGACACTCATTCACCAAGGTGTGCCTGGCAGGGAGCTTCCTGAATTTCTCTTCCTTCCTGGATGGAGAAGATGGGAGGAGGAGAAGGAGGAGGGGCAAGGGAGCTCGAAGGTACAGAACACCTGCCATTTGCTGAGCGCTCATGAGCAAGATGGAGCATGGGGACAGTGAAGCCTGATCCCTCTGTGAAGGGGCAGAAAGCAGCCAGGCTCACAGAGGCCCAGTCACTGGCTCCGAATGGCTCAGCCACTGGTGGCAAGGGGACCGCCCATGCTGAATCTGCTCCTCACCCACACAAGAGCCCCTGACTGCCCCTATAAATATGTGGCTGTGTAAGGATTTGCAGAAAGGGCCTAGAGGCACACCACGATGGACGGGCACACCACCAACTCCCAGCTCTGATCCCCTGAGCTGTCAGAACCTGGGGGTGACGATCCACCTGTAACCCACACACACTGGGTACCCATGAATGGTCCCCAAAAGGGAACAATCAACTCCTTTATCCATGAGACAAAACATCTTTCAGCTTTGAAATCCTCTTATAGCTGTTGGATGCTTTAATTCATCTTCCTCCTTTCTTTGCATTGGTTGCTAGGAAGCTCAGGAAAAAAAAAGATATGTGTATGTGTGTTACTGCTCAAAGCACTTGGCTTCTAAGACTAACTCTATTCCTGGCTTCAGTGTATTGTTCTTGTCCCCGATTTTCTCATCAACCTATTTCTCTTCTAATCGCTTATAGTGCTTTTGTATTTGGGGGTCCCTGTTTAGGGCAGACTATGCGGAGGGGGGCCAGGCTACTCCTCCGGCACATTCTCCCAGCAGCAAGCCTGGAAGGCCCGTGAGCAGGCCGCAGGTGCTCCGAGGCTTACGTGCACCAGCTGCTCCTGGGTGTCGTACTCCTTGGTGCAGTCTTCCCAGTGGCAGTTGGTCTCGTAGATGACCACCTCGGCCTCCTGCTTACAGTCATCCCTGTCCAGGTCTTCCTTGAGGTCGGCCAGCTGCTCCTGGGGAAGGAGAAGCACAGGCCCGTGTGAGCTGTGTCGGGGCACCGGGCCCTGGGCACCTGTGCAGGCTGTGCTGGGGGCCCCTTGGCTGGTACGGGTGCAGGTGCACACACTGCACACACATGGAGAGCCAGGCAGTGCACACACACACTCACACACATCAGGTGTGATGCAGCCCAGCAGGCCACTTGGTCTTCAGAATCCTGGCTCTCACTTTGTTCCCTCTGCTTCAGGCATGCACCACACTCCCGGATTCACACCCAGGACCACGCATCAGCCTGTTCAACACGCTGCTGGGCCAATACACTCTGCACTTCCTCCCAGCACCATTTCCCCTGCGACTGCCCTAAAACACAGACCCTGGGGCTGGCGCCGTGGCACAGAGGGGTAAGCCGCCAGCTACAATGCTGGCATCCCATTACCAGAAGACAGTTCAGGTCCTGGCTTGCTCTGCTTCTGATCCAGCTCCCTGCTAATGCACCTGGAGAAGCAGCAGCAGAAGACAGCCCAAGTGCTTGGGCCCCTGCCACCCATGTGGGACACCTGGATGGAGCTCCTGGCTCATGGTTTTGGCCTGGTCCAGCCCTAGCTCTTGTGGCCATATGGGGAGTGAACCAGCAGATGGAAGACCTCTCTCCATCTCCCCTCTCTCTCTCTGTAATTCTTTCCAATAAATAAATACTTACATTTGAAAAAGTCTATTTATTTGAGGAGTGAGAAAAATGGGGGTGGGGGGACTGAGTGCTCACATCTGCTGGTTCTCTCCCTAAGTACCCACCGAGGAGCTGGGAGCTCTGTCCAGGAGTCCCACCTGGGTGGCTGTGACCCCAGAACTGAAGCCATCACCTGCTACCTCCCAGGGTGCACATTAATCAGACTCAAACCCAGGCACTCGGATACAGTATGCATGCATCCCAGCTGGCATCTCACCTGCGAGGCCAAATGCCTACCTCTATCTTGAACTTGAACCTCCAGAATGGTGACACACTTGTCTCTTTGTAAAATCAGCGAATACCTGGGCGCCCTCGCCCCGCCCCCGCCCCCACCTCCGACTGATTTCTCTGGAGCTGCCCATGGCTCCTCCAGCAGGGTCCCCTGGTTATTTTCAGAATATCTCCCTGCTGATCCACTTGTTCTGACAAAGGAGCAGGACGATGCATTGGACAGCAGCTCCATGGGCGGCCCAGGACCACAGGAACAGAGGAGTGGAAGCCTCCTGACTTGCAGAGCTACAAAGCAGGGGCTGCTGCAGAGAGAGCCTGGGGAGGGAGGACCAGAGGGCCTCTCGGGGGCCGGGAAGCTGCAGAACTACGTCTGTGGACCGTGGGCCCGGTCGTCACCCCAGCCTGCGACGCAGGGGTCAGGGGGTAGAGGGTCTTCTGCAGAAAGGACATCCATCAGCAGAGGCCGGGAGTCCTTGGTCACGGGATCAGGGCAGTGAGTGACGCAGAGACAACCTGCTCGGGATAAACGGCTTTCCTTGTGCCGACGCGTGGGGGCCCGCCTGGCGGGGGGCAGGGGCGTGGGGTGTGGGGGCCCAGGTGCTCAGTGCCTGCTCTGGCCCTGTCTTCATGCTTCCACTGTGTTTATCTTCCCAGGATCTGTGTGCTGTCCTCATCTATTTCAACAGCCCTGGATGATGGCCGGCCACATGGAGACCATGCATCATGTGGAGACCAAGGAAAGTGTCACCGACCCCTCTGTTGGCCTGACAACAACAAGCCCCAATATTTCATGAAAATTAAGCGCCCAGGCATGCCCCGATGGCTGGCACTTTTGATAAAGATGGGTCAGGCAGCTGCAGGGGACACAGGCCGGGAGGCCCCAAGCATCCTTGGCATCTAAGCTGGAGCTTCTGCAGCAACGGATGAGACCGGGCTAGGCTGGGGCGGGTGTGTGTGTGTGTGTGTGTGTGTGTGTGGTCAGCAGGCACGCCACGCCCTCTGCACGACTGCCTGGGTGCTGCCCCAGAGTTAGAAAAAGGGTCGTGGTTTCCAAAGAGACCTTTGCAAAGGCCTGCCCCGGGGCTGGGGGCTGCTCTCTTCCTCAATGCTCCCCACTGGCCCCTGCCATCAGCCTCTGCACTTGTCACTACGTCTTGCACACCCTCCAAATGACATTCATCATACTGACTGCAGGCTGGGCTCTGTGCAAACCCTGGGGACAAGGGGCCCAATCAGCGACCTCTCCCCGAGGTGGCACCTCTCCAAAGCTCACAGTGTCACAGAGGACATGGCTGTGCCCACAACACATACCCTGGTGTGACCTGGGGGCCAGGCTGGGCAAGTAGGAGATGTACGTCTTATGACCCAGATGGGAGGGTGAGCCAGCAGTGAGGGCGATGGCGTTCCAGACAAAGAGGGAACACTCGTGAGGCCTGAGCCATTCAGGGGACACTTGCGACTCGCGTAGGCAGACAGCCACAGCACCACTCAAGTTCATCCGGTCACTCGTTCATTCATTCATTCATTCGCACAGGTAGGTGAGCACGTTGAATATGTAAGATGCTGGGAACATGGCAGCTGGAAGATCACAGCTCACCCTCCCGGATCCATTCATTCATTCATTCATTCAGGCAGGTGGCCACCCATGCCTCCCAGGCCCCAAGGCTCCCAACCCAGAAGAGGCCAACCCACACCCCACTTCCCTGCCAGTCCTAGCCTGAGGTTACCTGTGTCAGCACCAGTGGGGAGGCCGGCCGCAGGCCGTCGACCTCAGCCTTGACTTTGCTGCGCTTGTGGATGGTGATGGGGTTGACAGTGCTGCTCACGGCGGACTCGCTGCTCTGCTTGTTCTGGGGGTGGGGGTGCAGAAGGCGGCCCATCACACAGGGCCAGGGTCCCCCCACACCAGACTGTTTGAGTGCACCCATCTCCCCACAAAGACCATCTGGGCCGTGCCTGGGGCAAGAGCTGAGAACCCGGCTGCCAGGATTGCCTCTCCATCAGACAGCTGCCCCTGCCCCTCCCCCCTTCCCCCTCACCCCCAGACTTCAGGAAAATGAGAAGCTGGGGTGGGGGATAGGGGGCGGGGAGCTGGCCATGGCTGAGCCCAGGCTCCATCCCCAGTTTCCAGTGTGAGATGGCATAATCTGGGGGCTGGAATGGGGACCCCCACCCTTGCACACCCTGTCCCTGCCTACCTGGCTGCTCTCGCTCAGACAGTTGCTGCTGTTCAGCTGGGATGGAGTGGTGCTGATGGAGGTGAGGGCCAGGGGCTGCTGGGCCAGGAAGGTGGGCGAGGGCTGGATCAGGGGGGGCGTGTGTCCAAAGGCCGAGCCCAGGCCCCGCTGCTGGCTCAGGATCTGCTGGTAGGCCACCGGGTTGATGGGGTGGGGGAAGGTGAAGGCTGGGCTGCAACAGAGAGCAGACGGGGAGGGGCCAGGCGCGGGGGAGGGGGGTCAGGCTGAGGCTTCCTGGGCTGGGAGGACCCTGATGCCCAGAGGACCAGGCTGAGAGCGGGCTGCCAGTCCCACTGTTACCACGGCTTCCTCCCACTCAGGAACCAGCGGTGGCGGCCGCCGGTGTTTGGTGCAGCGGCTTCAGTCACCACCTGGGATGCCCCCGCCCCACACCGCAGTGCTGGTTTGAGTCTCAGCTACTCGGCTTCCAATTCAGCTTCCTGCTAATGCACATTCAGGGAGGAGAACAGATCATTGCCTCAAGGACTTGAGCTTCTGCCACCCAGGTGGGAAACCAGGATGGAGCTCTTGCCTTGGGCTTCAGCCTGGCTCAGCCCTGGCTGTTGCAGGCATTTAAGAAATCAAGTAGCAGACGGAAGATCTCTCTCTCTCTCTCTCTCTCTGCCTTTCAAATAAAATGGGAAAAAGAAAAAATACATCCCATGCTTCACTCTTAAGTGCTGCCCCAGGCTCTGGCTTGCCCTCAGGCAGGTTGGTCCCCAACAGGTGCCAGGCTCCAGCTCACCCCCAAGTCCTGCACCCCCAGTGCTCGATGCATGAAATGCACCATGTCTCACTGCTCTCTGAAGAGCTGAACCCCCTCATAGCTTCCGAAGCCTATTTTAAGGCCTCCTTGACCAGGAAGGAGGCCCTGAGCCCTTCAGCTCGCACTACCCCGTCTTTAACTCCTGTTGCACCTTGAGGCTCAGGGACGCCACCTGCCTATGGACTGCTCGGTCCACAGCAGGAGCCCAACATGCGGGAGACATCTGGGCTTCCTCCCGGCTCCTTGTATCACACAAGGGTGGGGAGACGGCCTCCGTGTGGTGAGCACACTCGCACAGCCCTATGGACAGGCTCATGGACTGACTAAACACTACAGCTCCTGCAGCCAGCTCCATGAGGGACCCTCGCTCCCTGTAAAGGAGGCCCCGGGGCCCAGTCCAGCCTTCCCCCAACAGCTGCAGCTTTGAGTCCGAGAGACCAGGGCTTTGCCAGGCTCCAGTGCCTGACCCTCAGTGACAGGGTAGGGTAAAACAGGCTTTCTATTCAAAACTGGTAAGTGTTGGAGCCACTTGTTACTCCGCGGGATACGCCACTGCATACTTGCTGTCTTCTCTTTATTTCAGGGCCCGTGGGCCAAACTCTGGACACTCTATCAGAGGGGGCAGGGGCAGGATGTGGCTTTCCGGGGTCTGAGCCCTCTGCAGGGAGTGAGGAGGAGTAGTGTCAGTGAGGTCTGGTGCCATGCCTTGGCCATAGTGGGAGTCCGGCTGCTGGTCAAGAGCTCTGTCTGGGGCGTGAGCCCATTTCTGATGCGGCCCAACAGCTGGCTGGGGAAACCCTAGAGAAGCCTCCTTTGACCTGCAACACCCTTGATGTCACGACTGAACCCTCGTCTTCCACTGCACTCTAACACAGGCACCTGTCCATCTCATCGCTGTCGGCTTTGAAGCAGCAAAAAAGCTAATTGACAAATGCAAGCCTTTCTCCTGATCTTGAAAAGCCAACCCCTCCTTACACACCCATACACACACACACCTCTTCCCCCCTCCCTGCCCACCTGCACCCGGCTGGCTCCCAGGTCCCGGCGCAGCTCACCTGAGTGTGCCAGCCGATAGGTGCCCATAGGAGCCACTGGCCGCTGAGCTGCTGCGGGAGTTGTTGATGTAGGCCACCAGCGAGTTGGGCGAGGTCCGGATCATCCGCTGCAGGTCCAGGCTGGCATCTGAGAGCGGGGAGATGGACAGCGCCCGCTTGCGGCTCAGGCGGGGAGTCACCCGTGGACTGGAGAAGCGAGACACTGCGGGACAGCCAACAGGAAGTGTGTCAGCATCACCAGCCTCGGGGAATGGGGACAGGTAGGTGGGGGGGGGGGGCCTCTTGGGCAAGGTTTCTCTTGGCCTTGGTTTATTCATCCGTGAAAGGGGATGGATCAGCACCGACCGGAAGTGGCAAGGATTTGGGGAATACTCAAGGTTTTGGTGCAAATGACCATGAGCACTGAGCACCCACTCGCATCCTTACTATTGAGGTGCAGGGACCAGAGCTGGAAACCAGCCATGCTGAGAGCGTGACAGCAATCAAGGCAGCTGACCTGACATGAGCACCTCAGCGGCCTATGACACCGTGGACCACTGAGGAGCTCAGCTCTAGGCCAGGGACCAGGACCATTGCGGGCCACATGGCACGGGCTGCGTCCAAGGCTGAACGTGCGACCTCCCTCTCTGAAGGAGGTCCCAGGACAGCACCAGACGCCCTCTGTGGGGGTGCTGGGACAGGTGTCTGCTCCTGGATTCTTGCCCCCCCCCCATGCTCTGCTACCAGCCTGGGAGGTCAACGGCCTGCTCAAGGTCACTGTGCGGCAGGGGACTTGAAGCCAGATGTGGCTTTTCTAGGGACTCAGCATCCTGGCGTCTGTATTCAGAGAGGTGGAGAGGGCCGGGGCGGGCAGGGGGCTGCATCCTCTCCACAGGCTTCAGTGCCTCCCAGCAGCCACTCTCCTGACCTGTGCCGTCTCGGGCTCCCCGTGCAGGGCTCTCGACTCCGCCTTCCTCTCCTGCACCACTGGGCTCACTGAGGTCGGCTCCAGAACCCCTGGTCAAGCCCTCTGTCTCCCAGCGTCCACCCCCCCCAGCCTGGCCCACCACTCACTCAAATCCATCCAGGGGCCCTGGCTCACTGCTGTCCAGTCCCCCTCCCTTACTAGGGCCAGTGAGAGCTTTCCAACACGTGGCCCACGGCCCTGCCTTTCCCAAAATCTTCTCAAAGCACTGACGAAGGCCCACCTGGGGTCCCCATGGGGGTTCACGTTCCTTCCTGCCCCCTCTCTCCTTGCTCCAGCCGCACAGGTCTGCCTCCGTGTCACTGCACAGGGCCTTTGCCCATGTGGCTTTCTCTGCCTGCCATGCTATTCCATCCTGGGTGCTCAGAGTCGTCATCTCCTCCAGGAAGCCCTCCCTGACTGGGTCACCTGAGCTGGGCAGTATCTACCCAATGCTCAGGTCTCTGTCTCCAAAAGAGGGTAGCACAGGTGAGTTTGCAGCTACCTGTGGGGGTTACCTACTTGCTTCTGTGGCTCACCTTCATGAACGAGGATCTCCAATCTTTTCCCATCTGATCACTACATCCCCAACACACAAAAGCGACTGGTAGCATGAGCATTCAGCCTAGAAGTTAAATGCCTATGTTCCATATCGGGGTACCTGGGTTCAACACCTGGCTCTGGCCCCCGACTCCAGCTTTCTGCGGATGCTGACCCTGGGAGGCAGCAAGCAGGGGAAGGAGCCCTGCTCTGCATGTGGTCTGAGCTCCCAGGTCCTGGTTTGTTGCAGGGGATCTGGAGAGTCAAAGTGGCAAATGGGAGCTCGCTCTTTCTCTCTCACATTGACTTCCACATACATTTTAAAAATAAGAAACATGCAGAGAGCTGGCTGAGCAAGCAGGTGGGAGGCGCCCTGGGCTGGCCACGTGGTGCTGAGGGAGGGGAGGACCACAGTTGCCGGAAGTCCCTTCCACCGACGCCTCCATCACGGACGCTGATGTCTGAGCGCGTTCAAGTGCAGAGTAACTTCCCTGAGGAGGGGCTCCTGCTAGCTCCACAGAAGACAAAGCAAAGGGGGTGTGTGTGGGAGTAAGCACCCTGTCCAAGGCCGCACAGCTAGGGGAGGTGGGGACCGGGACTGGAGGGCAGGCACGGGATGCCAAACCACCCGCCACGGTGCCTGTGCCCAGGGAGACGAGGAGAGGCCCTTCAGTGAGGTACAACCATGGGGTGGACAGCCAGTCAGCCAGCCTATGCCGGGGCCACACCAAGCCTGTTGCTGAAGCCTCCCCAAGCCTCTCTTTGCCCCGTCTGTACAATGCGGGCAGCTGACTTGTTTAGCAGGGACATTGTGAAGACACAGGCGGAGCGCCATGGACAAGTGCCTAAGCCCTAGCAGCCACCCCATAGCAACGGGGCTGTGAATACTACTTTGGGGGCCGGAAGGTCTCTTGAGATCGGCAAGGGGGAGCCTGTGTATTTTTTTTTTTTTAATTTATTTGGCAGATAGAGTTAGACAGTGAGAGAGAGAGTCAGAGAGAAAGGTCTTCCTTCCATTGGTTCACCCCCCAAATGGCTGCTAACAGCTGGCGCTGCGCCGATCCAAATCCAGCAGCCAGGTACTTCCTCCTGGTCTCCCAGGCAGGTTCAGGGGCCCAAGGACTTGGCCATCCTCCACTGCCTTCCTGGGCCACAGCAGAGAGCTGGACTGGAAGAGGAGCAGCTGGGACTAGCACCTGGTGCCTCTATGGGATACCGGCGCCGCAGGCAGAGGATTAACCAAGTGAGCCACGGCGCCAGCCCCCAGAGCCTGTGGTTAATTACTCAGTTTCGATTTACTGAGTTCGTGCCTCACTTTGAAGGAAACTATAAGACACAAAAGTGCATCTTCAAAAAGGCTCCTGTTAGTTACAAACTGAGTGGCAAATGGGCAGCTACAAGGGGCAATGGTGAGGATCCGAGAAATGCACACATCTTTGTCACACACTTTTGAAAAAGACTTGGCTGCTCCTATTTGGATCCCAGCCCTCTCGGGCGCCCCTAACAAGAGGAAGCAGTCCAAATCTGACAGTGGTATTCGTCTCTGTTACTCCCACCCCTCTGGGAAATATGTTTATTAATGTGCTCTTCCCTTGATAAATGACTAAATAGAAAGAAAAGCCTGGCACTCATTTCCCGGGGTTTCTCCTGTGATTTATGACCAGGTACAGGCACAGCCACAGCGTCCATTCATCTGTGGATGCGCCTGTTCCAACATCAGCCAGCTACCGGGACACCTGCCACCTGCAACCTGCCGCCCTCACCTGGCCGATGCTGACACCACACTTTCCCGCCGGCACCTACCTTGGGACCCCGTGTCACCCTCCAAATCTTGCTTCTCACTCATTCATCCACCAGTCCCTTATGTGTGCTGGGAGTGTGGCTGACGTTGTGGGGATAAAGAAGCAAGAATGATACCAAGCCCTGCCCTCTTGGGGCTCACCGTCCAGGTGAGACCTGAACACAGTACCCACAGCACCAGGCAGGACTTGTAGAGGGCCCACCTATGCAGGATCAGCCTGGAGAATCCCTGAGAAGCCAAGAGGGAGGTCATGGCTGCCCCTGGGGCAGCAGCAGGTGCAGGCGGTACCCTGAGCCCTGGCCCCAGCTTCTGGCCCTCTGGGTTACTCTCAACTGGGAGACTCTGGGCATGTCTATCACATCTCTGATTCAGCTTCTGGTGCAGATGCGGGCTAACAGCACTTGCATCACCCTTGGGGTTGGAGCCTGTGCACCCAGGAACCTACCCGGGCTTGGGGCCAGCAGGAGGGAGCTCTGACCCAGCCCAAGGACCCAGGAGTCATCTCAACACCCAGCACCTTCCTCCACATGGCATGGCAGGGCTGGGGACAGCAGGACACAGCCGTGTGGCGGGGCCCCAGGGCCAAGTTCTCAGTGGCTAAGGCACATCTCTGGCGCGGTCCACCCTTCACAGCCAATGTCATCCGGACTCTCAGAGGACGTCCACTTTGACAGCCTGCACCTGCCCCACACTTCCTTTCCATAGCCCCTCAGCCTCTCTTTTGGAGGATCAGAAAGAACCTAGGCCACAGTGCCAAGTGTCCCGGGAACACCACTTCCTGGTCACGGGAGGAAGTCGGACAAATGGCCCCGGCTTCAGCTTCCCCACCTGGGGCGGGCAATCCAGACGCTGGTGCGTGCGGATTTACCAGATGACCCCACACCTCTTCAGCCCGAGTCTGCCCACAGCAGCCCTGCCCTCCTCCACCTGCTGCCTGAGCTCCTCCCCCTCCCTCCACTCCTAGCTCTTCCTGCCTCTCTGTGCTTTGATCAATGTAATTGGTTTCTGTGTAAAAGAAAAAAAGAAAAAAAAAAAAAAGGCCCGGATCTGCAGGCAGCATAAAGAACAGGCGTCAGAATGGAGGTGACATGGCAGTCAAATTAGTGTCAATATGACAATAAAATATACAGCTCGGAGGAAATACAGGCGTACCCGGCCAACATTGCAATTGGAAACATCTCCATCTTCTCAATGCGCCGGGTGCAGGGAGGGGCGCGGATGCTCTCGTTCTGCACTTAAATCACCCATGTTCGTCGGCCACTTTAGCACCCAGGGACAGTCATTGCATTCTCCATTCCCCAGAGAGCCACAGGGCAGGAGGAGCGCCTGGGAGCGCCTGACTGGTTCTCCACTAACCTCCCAGAGGGCATCGCTCTTCTGCTTCCTGCTACAAATCAGGTCCCTTTATGGGGCCGGCGCCATGGCGCAGTGGGTAAAGCCACCGCCTGCAGTGCTAGCATCCCATATGGGCACTGGTTCGAGGCTCAGCTGCTCCACTTCCGATCCAGCTCTCTGCTATGGTCTGGGAAAGGAGTAGAAGATGGCCCAAGTCCTTGGGCCCCTGCACCCACGTGGAAGACCTGGAAGAAGCTCCTGGCTCCTGAGTTGGGATTGGCGCAGCCAGAGTGAACTAGTGGATGGAAGACTCTCTCTGTCTCTCTCTCTCTCTATCCCCCTCTGCCTCTCTGTAACTCTGCCTTTCAAATAAATAAACCTTAAAAAAAAAAAAAGGCCTCTTTAAGAACAAGGGGAATGGGCTGTTGCGACCCCAGGAGCCAGGGAGGGTGGGACAGCCTTCCATTGCAGGAAAAGATACAGAAATTCCATTTTCAGATTCCTTTACGCAAGAAGATACGTCTATTTTAAAGTTATGATGACCTCCACAAGTGTGCGGCTGGAACTGGGTAAGGTGAAATCATACTGCTGATTGGTAACAAGCAGGCCAGGACCCAGGGAGTATCCTACACAGTCTGATATTCAAAGCTTCCAGAAAGTTCTCTTGTCTACAGCGCTCCCTCCTTGCGGGGAACATGAAGGCAGACGCTGAGAAAGGAGGCTGGGGTGGATGGGGTGGCAGGTGAGAACGGGCCCCCGTGGACTTGCACCTGAGCCTCGCACAGACTAGGTGCTCAATAAAAAACAGCTGGATGCATGAGTGTATGAGAGAGACAGAAAGAGAAGGACTATGCTTCTCGACTTCTCAGCAACTCTCGAGGTCTAGCACACGTGCAGAGCCTGCATGTTCAAGGTCATTTGTATGGGCAGCTTCCTGGTGGCCTCAGAGAGACTCAGTACCTTTCCACAGGTGCTCCCCCAGGCTGTGCTGCCAGCCAGCCCCGCTGTCTCTGTGAGCCAGGAGAAACCCGACGGGAAGATCCATTGGCACCTTGTACCGGGAGGAAGGAGGCTGGGCACACCACAGAGGCAGGCTCAGGCCAGCTGAGCGTGGGCCTGGGCATCCTCTTTGCCGCGTGGAAGTAACATGCCCACGAAGGCATCAGAGCCGAGTGGAAGTTTCTGGAACATCTTAAAACACTGGAGCAAAGGTTCTGGCTGTGACTTGACATGGTTTGAAGCAAGCGTATTCAGTGGTGACAGATACAGGGGCTAATCCCAAATGACTCTGATTTCCTGGGGTTATAAGTGAGCAGAAACAGAGGGAAAGATCCTGACAGCCATGGTTAAGAGGAACTCGGCACCCGCCAGTCCATGCCTGCACCTGGGAAACTGACATTCCCGCTCGGGCAGCTCCGGAGCCTGGCATCACTGCCTGCTGCACCCTGCAGCCAGTAAAGCTCGCATGCTGGCAGCAGAGATGGCTGGGGGTGCTGCTGCGATGGCTTGGTCAGCAGCAGCTGATGGGAGCTGGGAGGTCTCCTGCCCACTGGCCAGCGCAACTCCCCACCCCTCTGGGTCTCCTCAGATGCTGACGAGTACTGAGCACCCCCAGGGGACAGTTGATCCCCACACCCTTCCTGGCTGACTAGGAGCCAACAGCTGCTTTCCCAGCCCAGTACTTTCCTCCCCCAGTTCATGTACAAATTTCCATTCTGGGTTCAGGTTCTTAGAGACAGGGGGCCTGCTCCAGGTCAGACCTGCCCCTGGACCCAGCGGGACTTCCAGCTTGCTGTATACAAGAAACAGCAGGGCTGGGCATTTGGCACGGTGGTTACAATGCTGCTTGCGGTGCCCATACCCATACTGGAGGACCTGGGTTCAAGTCCCCGCTGCACTCCTGATTCCAGCTTCCTGCTAACACGCCCCCTGGGAGGCAGCGGGTGATGCCTCATATAGTTGGGTTCCTGACATCCATATGCGAGACCTGGATTAAATTCCAGCCCTGGCTTTTTTTTTTTTTTTTTTTTAAGATTTATTTATTTGAAAGAGTTACAGAGAAGGAGAGGCAGAGGCAGAAAGAGAGATCTTCCATCTGCTGGTTCACTCTCCAGATGGCTACAACTGTCAGGGCTTGGCCATGTTCATGCACGCTGTGTCATACAGTGTGTTCAGTCTACACAGCCACAAAGGGCCTTGGGTCACTGCCCCGTCCTGGTTTTGGTCTCACCACCAGCTCCAGGCTTTGTTATCTCAGCAATGACTCTGCACGGCTCAGGGCTGACGCAGGTCTGCTCACTGCAGCGCCTGTCCCCTGTGCCCCTCAGCCCCCATCTGCCCCGGACAGCTGCATCTGGCCGAGCTGGCCCTGCATGGGCTGGTCAGGGAGAGCAGATGACCCTGGCACACCACTAGATGTTGAGGTCGAATTGGGTCATCTTAAAGTATTGTGATTCCTGACTCAAAAGGTGGCTGAGAGTGACGAGGGAGAAGGCATAGCCTGGCACAGAGCGGTTCCCCCTCTACCTCATCCCTACCCTTCCCTGTACCATGCATGCAACACACATGGGCACACACGCAGCTCAGTCACTGGACACCTGCTTGGCCTGACCCCTCTCAGCTAGGGTTTCTTTGCCTCTGTCCACTCTCCAGCTGGCCTGGGGCAACCCGTGAGAGGCTCTGTACACGGCAGCGGTGAGCAGCTCGCACTGCATGCCTGTGGCCTGGCTCCTGGAGTGCACTGCATCCCTCCACCAGGCCCTCATCACACCACCCAATGATATTCCATGCACTGACACCCCACCGAGGCTCACGGGAAGCCCCTGCGGCAAGGGCGGACGAGTGGCTGAGAGAGGGATCGAGAAAGAGAGCACACAGGTGCAAGTGCGGTGACTGACATCTAAGTGTCACCCAAAGCCTCCGTCACCTTGTGGAGAGCAGCTGTGGCCAGCACAGAATTAAGCCGGGTCCTCCCAGCAGGAACAGTCAGCCCCACCCCAACCCCTCCCTTCTCCTCTCGCCCCACCCCCATCCCGCCACTGGGCAGTCACACTCATACCCCGCCCGGCACTCACCTTCCACTGGGTTGAGGTAGTCGTGGAGATGGGGTGTGCCAGCGGCAGCCCCGCCCTGCGTGAGCAGGTCCCCGTAGGGCGCAGGGTGGCCAGCCATGAGGGTCATCTGATGGTAATAGTCAGAGGGGTTGGTGCCTGGGGCAGGGAGGCCAAAAAGTCCCCTCTCTTTCAGGTGCTCGTGGGCCACTGTGGGCAGAGAGAGAGAGAGAAGCCATCAGGATGTGACACAGGGCGGCACCTCTGCTCGCTAAAGGGAAAGAGAAGAGACCCACACACCTGGCCTGGGGCAGGGTCTCCCCTCACCGCCTCCCTTGTCCACACTCAGCTGGGGGCTCAGCCTGCATGCTGGCAGGGGCTGGGAGGGTGCTGCCAATATGGGATACCTGAAACCCGGCCTCGGCGCTCCTCAGGGTCACACACAATCTCTCCCTCCACCCGCTCCAGGCCCTGCAGAAGCCCAGACACAAGCCCACCCCCAAGTCAGCGGGATCCCGCCAGGCACGGAAGCCAGGGACTTCTGGGTGTCCCCCGAGGGAAATCCCACTGTCCCTGCAACACGGGAGCCAGGAGACACCACTGTCGGCCACACTTAGCAGACGAGGGTCCTGCTACATGGCGGGGAAGTGACATAGCCGGGATGGGACTCGGGGTTTCGATCTAGACAGTGAGCTCCTCCCCACTGCACACCATAGGCTCTGCTCCCGTCTCGGCAGACACCCGTGCAAATTTGGGTGTGCTTGGCAGACAGAGGCATCAGCGTGTACAAGCTGTTGTCCTCCTGTTCCCCCTCCTGCTCTCTCCTGTACACAGAGTCCTGGCCTGTCCCCCTTCCCCTCCCGGGAAGCCTTCCCTGGAGCTCCGATCGGGGCCCCGTATGCACCCCGTCTGGCGGTGGCTGACAAACCTTCCAGGCCTCCTGCAGGAACAAGGCTTCAAGGCTGGTGCACATGGAGCACACAGAAAGTCCAGGAGCACAGCCCTCTTCCCACAGCTGCTCTGTGGGCCCGATCTGCTCTCTCAGCTCCCACAGTAACCTTACCCGGAGCCAGGGAGGCATTGGGGTTTCTGGTCTATCCCATGCAGGAGTCGGAGCCATGCAATTAGCCAGGTCCCCTCTGATGCTGAACCTGGCCCTGCTGTCTCATGAGGCATGACCAGAATAAGGTGGGTGCTACTGGAGCTACCACCGATGCTTATATTGAAATTAAGCCTATCATGCCGTTTCATCAATTCCAAGCCCATCCTGCCAAGGGGAGCCCCATCTCAACACTCAGTTCCCACGCCAGAATCCTCCAACTCTGCCACTGACTCCATGTGGCTGTCTCCTCTGGGTGTCCCTTAGAAGGACACTTGTCACTGGATTTAGGGCCCATCAGGATAGTCACAAGGATCTATACTCCAGAGCCCTAACTCACTGTCACCTGCAAAGTCATTTTTTCCAAATGCAGCAACACTCAACAGATTGGGGATGAGGCTGAGGACTTCTCTCTGCTGGGGGTGGCCCCCTCAGCCCACCCCCCCCAACACATGCCAGCTTCTAGGCCAGGGTAGCGCCAGGAACCTGAGCAGCATGCGCCCGTTCCCGCCAGCTTGCTGCCAGCCGGGGCACCAGGAGCGACATGGAGAAGCCCAGGGCCGCCATTCCTCTCCGCAGGGCACCCCAGCTCGGGCCAGGCCAACCCGGGGACTGCGCAGAGCTCGGGGCTGGGTTTCAGACAGCACCGCTTTCTCATGGACGTTTGCAGGCCTGCAATCACTCCCTACAAGCAGGCAAGGGGAGCCCTGCCTGCTCTTCACTGGGAGACTCCAGCATGCCGGTGCCCAGAGCCAGGCCCCTGTGAGCCGGCAGGGCAGGATCGAAGTGGTGATAAAGGACCCACTCAGACTGTGCTTCTCATAGCCTCGGCCCTGGGGGTGTGGGCAGTGCGGGAGGAGGGCTCCCAAGTACACTGCAAATGCTCTCTGGCCTGGAAGTGGCTCTGGCCTGAGAGGTTAAGTCCCAGCTGGGCATACTGAAAGGACAGGCAGCTTGGTTGCTTCCAAGACCCCAGGCCATGCTGGGGACAGGGGTACATATCCCACAACGACAGCATGGGTGGGGTCAGCTCCAATGTGCTGACCCCTGCCCAGGGTGCCTGTGCTTTTGCACAGGTGCATCTGTAAGGTGGAGACTACAAGTAGCACACTTCAGATCTGCACAAGCTACTCAGACGGGGAGGGGGGAGTCATCTGATGTCTGAGGAGGACCAATCAATTCTCTGTCTCATGATCTAAATGGAGAGACCTAAAGCCACAGGTTCATTCCTGGAGCCCCGGGGCCTGGGTTGACCTACCACAGACAGAGCAGACAGAGATGTGGACAGCAGCCAGCCCTTCTCTGCCTTCCTTCTGCTCAGGAGCCCCAAAAGACACCCCTATACATCACCACCTTTATCTCACACCAGCTTCTGCAGACTTCGGTGTGTTGCAACCATGGCTCTCGTGCTAAAACCCACATCCACAGGCCCGTGCCATCAATACTATGATAAATCACAGATGCTTTGCATGCAGCTGACTTTCTGATGAGCACCAAAACCAACGGGCTTCCCCATCAGGGGAGGGGACAGAGGCGGAGTGAGTCACAGTGCGGCCATGAGCGAAGCTGACCATGTGACTCGAGGAACTAGGCGGCCTCAGCCCCACCCCCTGCCCAGCCCCAAGGCCTCAGCTGTCTCTCCTGGGTCCCCAGGCCCTACTCACCGTCAGCAGGGCTGAGGCCCCTGGCTGCAGAGATCATGGACAGTGTGGGGCTGCTGTGCACGGAACGGAGGTAGTGCTCCACGTGGGGGTTCATGTACGCGTGCGGGGCGCTGAAGGGGGACTCCCCGGGCCCGGCGGGGTGCGGGGAAAGCCGGATTAAGGAGATGTCGGAGATGACGGGGCTGCCGCTCAGGGTGGGAGGCCTGCAGAGACAGAAGGTAGCATTCTCAGCAGGAGAGCACTCGCGGGCCCCCACATCCAACGCAGGCAGCTCTCGGGTCTCCTGTGAAGACGCTGCACACGCTGCTCATAGGCTGGCGTCCCCTGCTCACCTGCGGAGGAGAGTCTGGATACATGGAGGGTTAGCGGGGGGTGGGGGTGCAGCCTGCAAGGTGCACACCGATGTGCACCTCCAGCCATCAGAACTCCTTGCACACATGATGGCTCAACCAGAGCCCCGGGCTCACCTGGCCACACACACACACACACACACACACACACAAGTTGCTTCCCCCATGCCTGCTTGGGGTTGGGCACGTGGAACATGAAAGGAGAATAGAACATGAAGTTCTGAATACCAGGGGTAAGTTGCAAAGAGCTCATGTCCCCAACAGAACAGGAGAGAAAGAGCAGGATCAGAGAGGCAAGAGCAGGATTTCGGCTCCAGCTGATGGCCCCGGGGGTGCTGCCTTTGGCTACAGCGCTTGAGGAAGGAAAAAAGCAAGATACAAGATGAGTTTTCTGTTTTGTTTTATTGTCCTTCACTTGAAAAATATGCTGTCTATTTGGTAATGATTTTAGATTCGTGGCAAAGTTACGCAGAGAGCATGCAGGGCCCTGTGTAACCAGCACCCAGTGTGCCCTCGCGTTACCACATTCTTAGCCCTGCCTCACTTGCCAAGGCTGAGGTTGAGGCTGGAGCTCACTACTCCCCCACTCCAGCTTCAATCAGTGCCCTCCTCAACCTCTGTCCTGGTTGTTGCTTATTTGAGACAGACAGAGAGCTCGCGTTCACTCTCCCCAAAGCCAGAAATAGCCAGGGCTAGGCCAGGGCCAGAGCCAGGAACTCAATGCAGGTCTCCCCACATGGGTAGCAGGAACCCAATTATTTAAGCCATCCTCACTAACTCTCAGGGTGTGCATTAGCAGGAAGCTATAGTCAGGAGCCAGAGCCAGGGTGCAAACCCATGTAGATGTCTTAACCACCAGACTAACCCACCTGCTCCACAACTGTCCTTTTAAGAGTGGTTTTAGGGGCTGGCACTGTGGCACAGCTGGTAAAGCCATGACCTGCAGTGCCCATATGGGTACCGGTTCAAGTCCCAGCAGCTCTAGTTCCAGTCCAGCTCACTGCTATGCTATGGCCAGGAAAAGCAGTGGAAGATAGCTCAAGTCCTTGGGCCCCTGCACCCATGTGGGAGACCCAGAAGAAGCTCCTGGTTCCTGGCTTCAGATTGGCACAGCTCTGGCCATTGTGGCCATCTGGGGAATGAACCAGTGGATGGAAGACTTCTCTCTCTCTCTCTCTTTGCCTCTCTGTAACTCTGCTTTCAAATACACAAATAAATCTTAAAAAAAAAAAAAGAGTGATTTTAGAAATTCTGAAAAGTGCAACGACATCACAGAGTCCACAAATATCTATAACAGCTTCCCCTCCTGTTCACATCTTCCACTTGTAATATGTTACGACTAAGCCAGTACTGATGCAAGCTCAACTAAAGTCCATGCTTATTCAGATTTCCATCTAACAGCTTAGTCAGTCTCCTGAGGCTTCTGTTGACTGTGACAGCTTCTCGGATTTTCCTTGCTTTTGATGAAACTGACCATCTATTTTTTCTAATCAAACAATTATTTACTTAATTAAAAGGCAGAATTGCAGAGAGGGAGAGACAGAGAGATTGAGAGCTTTCAATCCCTAGTGGACATCCCAAATGGTCATAATGACTGGGTCTGGGCCAGGCCGAATCCAGGAGCCTGGAACACCATCCAGGTCTCCCACATGGGTACAGGGGCCCAAGCACTTGGTCCATCTTCCACTGCTTTCCCAGGTGCATTAGCAGGGAGCTGGATTGGAAATGGAGCAGCTGAGACTTGAACTGGTGCTCATGTGGGCTGCTGGCATCGCAGATGGCTTAAGCCAGCGGCCCCTATCTTGACTACCTTGAGGAGTGCAGGTGAAATGTTCGCAGAGGTCCCTGTATTCAGAGTGGCCTGAGGTCCTTCTCTTGGGTGGATGGGGCTTGTGGCCTCATGAACCTCTGAATCCACTGAGCATCTTCCTTGAAAAATCCGTATTTTTACAACAGCTTCACCTGCCTCAAAGCCAAAACCTTTCAAACTGTGGACAATTAACCGGAAGGTTCCTATGGGCGGGGTGGCTCTGGAGGCAGCTGCATAAGTTCCCCCTGCTGACTGAGGCCTCTGGGCTTGGTCCCTGTGGCCTGGGCTGGCTGTGGCTCGGGTCTGCCCACCAGGAGGCGCTGGCTCCACTCAATACCGGGTTCTCAGCAGCTGCAGGCCTGTTTCAGCGGCATCCACTCCCAAACTGGCCCATCACAGTCCCACCGGGTGGGGAAGCAGCTGCAAAACCGCCAAGTCCCTGGGCACCACGTTTCCCAAGATTTCATTCTCAATACTTCAGAAAACAAGGACTGTCATGATTTTCTCTCTCCCACGCCGGGATCAGACACATCTGGATTAGAATCCCAGCTGAATCACATGGAGCTGGGCTAGTCATCCAACCTCGGCGAGCCTTGGTTTTCCCCATCTGTAAAATGGGGATAGTGGCGTCCATCCCACAGAGCTGCTGTGAGAGTGCAGGACCCCTGTCTGAGCCACAGAAAGCAGCTCAGCAGTGAGGGCAGTTATTTTGCAGATGCTCGGCCCCACCCCCACGCCTCACCGGAGAGTCCCTCTGCGTACCGGGAGCTGCCAGAGCTGCTGATCATGTGACTGTACCACGAAAGGTACAGTCTGATGAAGGCTGGGGAGCTCCGAGCCACTGCTTCAGGCCAGCTCCCAGTGGCCAGCTCCCTCCCTTCCATTCCCACACAGTTGTGTTACCGGCACAGGGGCCTGGGCTGAACCAGGGACATGGAGGTCTTGAACTCCGGCACTTGGGCAGAAATTCAAAGGGGTGGCTTTGAGAACCGGAGGAGGAGGTAGCTGCATGAACCTGCTTTAAAAGGTGGTGCCATGGGGCCGGCGCTGTGGCACAGCGGGTTAAAGCCCTGGCTTGCAGTGCCGCATCCCATATGGGCGTCAGTTCGAGTCCCGGCTGCTCCACTTCCGATCCAGCTCTCTGCTGTGCCCTGGAAAAGCAGTGGAAGATGGCCCAAGTCCTTGGACCCTTGCACCCACATAGGAGACCTGGAAGAAGCTCCAGATTCTTGGCTTCAGATCAACTCAGCTCTGGCCATGGTAGTCATTTGGGGGGTGAACCAGTGGATGGAAGATCTCGCTCTCTCTTTCTGACTCTACCTCTCTCTGTAAATCCTCCTTTCAAATACATAAAATAAATCTTAAAAAAAAAAAAAAAGATGGCGCCAGAATCCCACATAATAGACATACATGTGCACGAACTCACACGGGTCAGGCCACAGTCAAGCATATGTGAGAGCCAGCCCTTCCACAAGCAGCTCGGTGTGGCTGCCACTCTCACACCCTGCCGGACCCCTCAGGTCAGTTCTGAGCTCTTCAGAGCCCAGTGCTGCCAGCTGTCCTTACTTAAGTTTGTTTAGACACCCAGCAAGGCTCTCTGAACACCTGCTGTATGCCCAGGGACCAGGAGGACGCTCAGAGCCCAGGAGGTAAAAACAGAGCAAGAATCAGGGAAACACAGAGCAGGGCGATGAGGACCCCTGCAAAGGGGGAAAAAAATCCCCTAACTCTGCTTGGAGGAAGGCTTCTCAGAGGAGGTAACAACTGGGATGGGTACTGAGGGATGAATAGGAGCTCATGAGGAAGTGCAATGCAAATAAAGGGAGCATCAAGTGCACAGAAAGGCTGGAGCATACGCTGTGGGTGCAGGTGCTGTAAGAGACACCTAGGCACGGGGGCGGGGAGGGGGCACCCGTGATCAAAGCTCTCCATGCCCCTAGGGGTGCAGGTATGCTTGTGCAGTGCCCAGCATCCCAGGCCGACTCGGCTGCAGAGGACGCCTGCGCTTCCACACAGTGTTACCCCAGGGCCGGCTGCTTGGGAGGCTGGGGGCAGGGCCAGGGAGGGCCTTGCCTCAACTCGATCCTACCTCTTCCCTCGCTCCCCACTCCCAAGCTGGGGGGAGGGGGATGCCTGGCAAAGCCCCTGGACGTGGTGGCCAGGGGAGGAAGCAGGAGAGGAGAAAAGGGAGACTGGGCAGACAAACTGAAGCCTGACCAGGTGCTGCCCCAAGTGCTCGGCTCCATGAACACCTAGGAGGTGGGTTGGACCCTCCTATTTTAAAGAGGAGCAAACTGAGGCTCGGGGAAGTCAAGTGACTCACACCAGCTTGCAGAGCTGTCAGCGGCAGAGCCTGAATGGAAGCCTGGCCAGTCTGTGCTGGGGAAAGCAAATGGGACTACTGAGATCTGCAGGGGTCCACTGAGACTTCGCCCTGACTTCACGGCCCTGCTCGGCTTGGCGCTGGGAGAGGTGCGGCGGGGGTGGGGCAGCAGCCTGCACCGACAGGCTTCAAGGGTGGATGGGCTACTGCCCCGGGCCTCAGTGACCCCTGCCTTCAGACTGGGGTGGCTGTGGGGCTGGATGAGCCACAGGCCAAGTGTGCAGTGTGAGACCAGCGGGAAACAGGTGCTGGCTGACCCAGCGCCCCTCACTGTCAGCCCAGGGAAGCAGCTCAAGGCGGGAGGGGGCCCAGCCCACACCTTCCAACACCACCATCCAGGCCCCTATCCTACGTGCTGGCCCAAGGTGACTGGCAGCAGAGAAAAGGAGAAGCCCACATGGGACTCCTACATGGACATGGCCACTGTGGGACTTATTGCCAACCCGCAGGGGCCTGAGTGAGTGTGCCCAGAGGGGCTGAAACACTGGGGAAGCTGCCAAGGGGCGTGGGGCTGCTGCCGGCTGCAAGGCAGAGTAAGGCTTTGACAGATGGAGAGGGGTGGAGAAGACCCACAGCTGAGCTGAGCCAGGGTGCAGAAGCAGGAGAGGATGGGAAGGAAGTGCAAGGGATAGGGGCCTTGCACCCATCCTACAGTGCCCA